GTTCTATTATTAATAATATAAACTTTTCTAGTAGAAAAATTAATACTTCCTCTAGATTAGATAATTTTGGGAATTAATAATAATAATATATTTCGGAATTCGGGGCTATATAGTATATTATTTAGCTATACTTTTAGTTCAGAAATAATTAATAAAATAATAGTTCCCTTACCTTTAATAAGAATTATAGATTCATTACTAAAAGTAATAGAGAATGGTTTTATATCTTTATAGGTAATAAAAGAGCTTTTACTTTCTATAAAATAGTCTATAATACTCGAATTAATATACTAGATATTCGTAAAATTATTATTAAATAATTAGCTATTAAATAGAGTACTAAATATCGATTTTCTAGTAGTTAATTTTTTAATAGTATAGGCTTTTTTATAGATAGTTAATAGAGCTAATAGAGCTAATAGTACCTTCTAATTAGTAGAATTAGAATCCTTTCTATTAGAATTAAAGTAATTCTAGACTAATTTATATATAGTATAATTTTTAATATTATATCCTTTAAATTTATAGAATATATAATAGGTATTTGGATCTTTTCTATACTTTGGCTTATTATTTAACTAATTTTTACTATTCTCTTAGATAGCTAATACCTTTATAGTAATATCTGGATTAAAAGCGGGAGGTTTAGCCCTGAGCTTCTTCTTTTTAGTAAAAGTATCTGCTTTAAGTAATTCTAGCTTCAATTTATTAATATTAGCTCTAATAGAATTTAGGAGAGGCTTATATAAGTCGTATTTCTTTAGAAGGCTACGAATTAGGTATTCGGATATAGAAATATCCGAAATTAATTAATTTATTTCCTTGATTTTAGCTACTTTATAACTAATACGGTTAATAAAATTATCTATTCCTATAGTAATATTAAATATAATAGTTTCTATTTATTAAAGGTATAGAACTTCCTTCTAAGCTTTTAGCTATTTAGCTTTAGCTTGAATCTGGCTCTAAATTTAGTATATAGGCTCGATTTCCTTAAATTATTACCAGGTATTATAGGTAATAAGTAATTAATTTATTATCTTTTAGAACTACTTCTATAAGAGTAGGAACTTAATTAGAATTAATAAATTACTATAGATTTTTAATAATAAAGAGATTTATAGTATTATCTATCCAGGAGTAGATATTATTATCCGAGAGAGGCTCAATTTTCGTACCTTTATAGGTAATATAGATTGATTTTTTGGAATCCGGTATATTGGATTTTATAGAGAATTTCTGACCAAAAATGGCTGTGTTTTTGGCGAATTCTACTAATATAAAGCCGAACTAATAGGTGAAATTCACCAAAATTAATGATTTTAATAATTTTGAAAATGGTTTTGGAATAGATAAGCAAGTACTAAGGTCAAGTAATACTTGGATCGCTTAGTAAAGTACTAGCCGGGCTTATAATCTATTAGAATCTGATTAATATATTAGTAATAAATCGATATATTAGAGGTTAATAATCTATAGAATAACTAGATATAGGAGAGTAAAGAGTAAAAAAGGAGAGGAAGGAATCTAAAATACAGTTCTTATATACCTACTAGTAGATGGCGATTTCCTCTAGTATATTATAAATCAGATGACTCATATATATTAGTAAGCGTTCCCTGAGCTTCTATAGTGAGTCATTATAAATGAGAGTAGCGAAGCTAATATTAGTAGTTGAACCTGGTACTGGAAGGACTAGTAAGCTAGTACCAATTCAATACTTCTTCCGAAAACAGCATGGGACAAGATTGTGCGTTTTCCGCAGTCAGGAGGGTTAGACCTCGCGAGCCTTACACATCGGGCGCTGTATGGCGAGGAGGGTAGTATTCCAGCCGTGCGAGATGAGTATTTGGCATGGGCAATGGAAGGAAGAAGACCGTTAGAGTAACGGCAAGTCCTCGAACCTGCGAAGCAACTTTCTCCTTCATTTACAAAAGCGAAGAGGCACATCGGACCTCATCGACGACACCCGCTGCACGCCGTGCGATCGAGATAGATTGGCGGTATACCATTTATCCTTATCTGCCACCTCGGGCGGCCCCAGATTTTCGTTCTCGGGAGGATCCTGACGAGCAAGTCTGGAACTACAGCTTCAGAGATAATAATGGCAGGGTGATAACGGGAAGGGGCACACAGTGCCAGATGGAAATGCATAAGGCACGATGCCTGCAAGAGGAAGGAACGCCGGACGCGTAGCCGCGCTCCTGTTCATGTGCTTGACAACGGGTGGGCGCTAGACCTATCTATATAATCGTTTGAAGACTCAAGTTGCTTCGACCTTCTGCTTGGAGTGTTCGCACAGTTGTTGGGGGATGCCGGGCTCAAAGAGGCTCCCGAATTGTGACATGGTAGCCGCATATTATATCCTAATTTGAGTGACATGAAATCAGAATTCTAGCTAGATTCAATCCTTCATTTCTTTATACCAAATATTTGAAGCATGGCTCCTACCTTCCAAACATCTTTGAGCCGTCTTCCATCAACCTAAGCCCGATTATTCTCCCGTTATTAATGCCTCTCTCGGTCTCTCTATGTTCCTTTGTTGCAAACGATAATCCCATTCATTGTCCCTCCCTCCCCATAGATAACGGTTAGTGAAGGATTTTCCATTCATCCGACGTTCGGTAAACCTCCTATCGAGTATATTAGGGTGATGAGCAGAATCAGAGGGGCAAACAGCTTACGGGGATTATTAGTCGTCGTAAGTAACATTCCACCACTATATTGGGACCGCGTCCACTTGAAGAACCTTTCCGCTAATATTGAAGTTACATAGCATCCAGATTCGTTTGCTAGTAGTGAGATCAAAATCGGGGGACCAGTGGAAAAAGTCGGAATCAGAGTCAAACATTCTTAATAGCTTCGACTTAGCGAAGTCGTTAGCAATGCGTCTCAGCCGATTCCTTGGCTCTCCAGTAACGTTAGTGGTATCAAACCGAATAGCAATGCATATTTCATGCTACGGACTCAGATTCTTTACCATATCAATAATATAGGAGGGAGGGCAGCGGTCATTATTGGAAGGAGCCTCGCGAGACAAATTTGTCGCATCGTAATTGTGCGGCTTAAAATTGGGACTAGGCTAGAATTAGTAAGGTTAGAAGCGAAGATCTGTCCCTTAACGGCGATATGTACTACAAAATTAAAGGTGAAATCGTCTTTTCAAGACTCAGTAATAATTGGACTTATAATAATATAATTCTTTACTATAATCAAATTATAATACCCTGACTTCGAAGGATCCACTTTTAAAACACAGTCTTGCAAGCAATTAACCGATTTCCAAGGTTAATACACACCCCAAGCGAATACACACCCTTTTCCCACTAAAACTACCCATCTTTAGACCTTAATAATTAAATAACTAATAAGTAGATTACCTTTAAAATTCCCATATTACTAGTTTCATATATATTAAATAAGACTATAATATAAAATTTACGTAATATTACATATTACGTAATTAATATTAAGCTTAAAGCTTATAAATTACTAAGTTTAATATTATATAAATAATTTCATAAATAAGATTAATAAATAGAAACTACTTAATTTTATATTAATAATATAGCTTATAAAATACATTTATTAAAAAGTTTTATTTATATACCTTTATAATAGAAAGATTTATTTAAAATAGTAATATTTTTACAAATTTATTTACTAATTATATTATAATAATTACTTTTTAATTTTTTAATAAAAACTAATATTCTTTATATATTAGAAGAAAATAGAAGAAGAAGTATTTAATTATATAAGAGTTTATAATATATTTTAAATTTTAAAGTTTATAACCTTAGTTTTTATTTAAAATAATGATATTATATTAAATAAAAGCATTATTTATAAAGTATTTTATATAATATTATAAATTAATATATAAAGAATTAAAAGAATTAAATATATTATTAAAAATAAGCTTATATATATTTATATATTTAATAAAAAATCTAGTATTATTTTTGTTAATTATATTATATTAATTATAAGGTTATATAAACATTTTATATAATAGAATAGTAGCTTTAGATTAGTTTTATATAAGGTAACTTAGCTCTTTACTTTTTTAGTTTTTATTTCTTAATTTAACTTTTTTTTAAAAAAAAAAATATTAAATATAAAACCAGAATTTTATAACTAATATATTATTTTATATGAAAATAATAGCCTTAATTTATAATTATATATAAGATAAAGTAAACTTATAAAAATTAAGTTAAAAACATTTATAAATATAAAGATATTAAGTATTAAATTAAAGTATTTAAGATTCTTAAAATTTTATATAAAAGCCAAGTTTAAATATCTATATTTAAAACAAAATAAATACTTTATCTTCTCCTCTTTCCAAATATAAAAGAATTATATTATTATCTTTAATAATTATTTAGTAAATAATTATTTAATATTATGTATTTGGCTAAGATTAGGGTATATATTCGCTTGGGGTATATATTAACCTTGGAATTCGGTTATTTGCCCAACGTTACTCTTAAAACCTCATCCTACTTTGCGTGAGATCTATATATACATGTGAATTATTACGACCGCAAATAAAACTCCAGGGGGCATACTAGGTAGAATCCGGGGGGAATTGTCCCTCGCAAGACTTGTATTTCCCATTATAATCTTCGTTGTGGTACCGTGCTCGGTCGAGAGGTAGCGGACATGTGGTTCCTGCTTGAATCGCAGCTAGGTATCTCCTAATATCGAGGTTATATAAGTGGCCGTAATCCCTGGCGAGCACTTCGGTAGTCTCGCACATTATTAATAATATCTTTCCAGGGAATTTCAAGATATAATTATAGAAGTGAAAGTATCGGACGTGCTTATTGTTCACTTCGGGTGCGGGACGCTTCCAGCTAGCAATTTAACCGACCCTTCAGCTGCTTCCCTTCCATTGCGCCGAGAATACGACAAAGCTTTCGATCTTTTGACTCCAGTGGCCGCTGCCTCTAACTTGTCGAACGTAATATCAAACGATAGTATCCATCTTTTTACAGGCTCCCTCGAAAGATCTTCCGAAGTAGATGTCTCAAGACAACATTGCCGCCTTCTTGGTCGAACGTGTTGCGAAATATCTTACGTATCTCCTTGGTATATGTTCGCAGCTCTGCTATATCGCGGAAGGTCCGAACCTTTTCCTCACTCCCGCTTCGTCCCCATTAAATCAAATCAACGATATTAACGTGCGTCCTTTGCACTGCCTATTATTTGCTTTAGTATGAATCTACCGAATTTCGTTATACGATCTCCTACCTCTTCGCATTATTCACATGTTTTCGGAAGCGGGTCGATACTAATTGCCCGGCAAAGCGCATGCCACGCAGTCAAGTCGTTCTCTGTACCATACCACAAGTGCAGTTCGCTTTGCAGCGCGTCTTGATATCTGTTCCACGCATCGTCTGATGCGACGCTGCCACGGCCCTATCTTTCTTGTCTCTGCAAGTTGGCATACGACGTAGCTAGTGGGAGAGAAGGATCATAATCAAACGTTGGGAAAGAGCGGAAAAAGACATCCAGAGGGGTTTCCGTATCCTTTTGGTGAATGCGAGAGTCCCGCAGGTGCTGCTCCAGAGCCTCCTCGTTGCCGAAGGATCGATCGCAATCCTCGCAGTCGAAGGACGGCGTATGCGCTGGTGAATCCCGCAGGTGCTGCTGCAATGCCTCTTCGCTATCGAAAGATTGATCGCAGAGAACACAACGGGAGCTCATAGTGTTGATTCAATTGTCTACAAGAAGAAATGATGACAATCGGAAGCGGTGAGTGGACGGTCTTATTATTCGTGTGACTGGGCGAACGGAGTGGGAGCTATGTCGTGTAACTGCAAACTCTACACCGTCGTCCAATAACCTGGTGACACACAAGCTCCAGGAATCCCTGACGTGAGGTGTCTAGAGATGTCGTCCGATCCTCTAAATATAATGTTGTGCTTCTCTACTACAAGGACCTCACTTCGGTGAAGTAACTCAACATGTCCAAGGTTAGCAAGTTTCCCAAAAGCCAACGAAGGTCGACATACTAATATGCTTCCATATGACAGCCTTTGCAACCAGCGACTGCAGCGTCAACTCCAAAGACTGCTATCAGAGTTGGGGATGTGCGCTATGATATTAACGTATCCAAAATACCATACCTGTCATCCTTCGTCGACTTTCAAGCCAATGCCCAACCACAATCAACAGATTTTATTCACGAGCCTATTCCTCTCTTCGATATAGCCCTCAAGGGGATCGAATCTGGCTATCGCCAGTGTTTCCGATCCCTCCCTGCCGACCTTTCCCAGCACCACATTCTTTGCGACACATATCATTTTCTCCATGTTGACATTCTTTGCGGGCAGTCTATCGGCGAGATTATCAGCGATCTGAAATCCGGCGCAGGTGACTATGATCGAGAGGAGCGACGAGAAATCAAGGGTGACAGGTCAAAGGCGCGCGATACGGCGTTCAAGCTGTTATATTTAATACTGCTAGGGGATTTCACGGATGAGGCGAAAGATAGTACCAAAATCTTTAATGCGGTGCTGTACCTTGTGTCTCACGCGGCGACTTTCAAATGGAGGACGAGGAGCGTGGTTCGGGCTGCGTACGAGGAGCGATTCGTCGTCTCAACAAAGCAGAAAGCAGCTCTGGATAAGTGGGAAAAGAAGGATCCTGCTAAGCTAGCAGTAGAAGATGCAGGCGACGTGACGACGGAGGAGGAAGAGCCGTACTATTTTGACTCTGATTATTCGATTTGATTTATGGCAACTTGTCCCACTTAACGAGAGTGTCTTTGCAACCTATACTTATACCTCTTGAAGTAATCTATCCCCGTACCCTGTGCTTAAAACATCCGCGCCACTTCTGGATATGCGTTATTAAGAGGCCAAGCTCTATTATTGCAAAGGCACACATATATTTCCTCTTCCTTCTAGACAGTACTAAGAAAAGCCTATAGTATATTAGTACTACTCCTGCCTTTCCTATATTATGAATTTAATAGAGTTAATTCGATTTATTCTTGGCACCATAAACTTCTATAGATCCCGTATTAAGGAGCCCCCTTCTTCTATAAGAGCTATAAATACAGTATGCTCGGCCATTAATTTAGTAGAGATAATTAGGTATAGACAAATTAACTCTTTTAACTTATCTATCCCGCTTTCCTTATCCAGAGTTCTCTTATCTATATATATATACCATATAAAATTAATAATTTGCTCGAGAAGTTAGTCAAGGTGAATTATGGTTTCGAGCTAGATTAAGGTTAGGGTTTTATGAATCTTAAATAGAATTAGCCTTTTTAGGCTATTAATTCCCCATTTATCTACTAAAACATAAAGCGAAATATAAAGAATAAGTATCTTACTAATATTTTCGCTAGGTCTATTATTTATAGCAGGGTTATATATATTATTAAAATTAGATCGGGGCTTAAAAAGAGGAAAGCAAAAAGAACTAAATATTCTAAGAGAGGTTAGTATAGTAATAAGAGAACTTTTCTTCTTTGCCTTCTTTAAATAAACTCTAAAACTCGCCCAGGAATTACTTCCTTGGGATTTGTCAGGAGATAGTATGGCCTTATTAATAATCAGACCAAGGGAAAAAGGCTATTTACTAGGTCTTACGATTATTTTCGGAGTCAAATAGTCTCCCGTATATATAAATTAGGCAAATAATTCGAAGGTTTTTACCTTTACTTCCTCCCATCTGGTTTGGCCGGCTAAGCTCTCTAATATTACTTCATATATGAGAGCGCTTAGTCCCTGAGATTAGTCTGCGAATAGTACCTCATAGATCTGAATAGGAACCTTATCTATACTAATAATAAACGTGAAAAGGCATAAACGGAGGATCCTAGAAGGAAGACGTTAGTATTTATAATAATAAGCAGATAGAACCCTAGAGTAGCGAATATGAATATTTCAAATAACGCGGACATTTCGGATTCTAGGGAACCAAGAGTTTGCGGTATTTAGCCATTAATATTCGATATACTTCACTTTGAACCACGGTTACCCTCGCGTCTCAATGAAATTCGTATACAGTATTATCGCAGTAAGAAGAATAACGGTAAAGCGCAAATTGAGGCTGGTTAGCAGGTTTAGTACTGTGGTGGGGTTTTTTCTCTCTTGTCCCGTGACTACCGTCACGTGTCCTGCTTCCCAGGCATGCTGGCGCTAGTTTAAGGGGTTGCATAAGACCTCCGTCCATACGTACGATTAGCCTTCCCAATACATCAACCTTCGGAGCCCCTTATTTTTGACCATTCGTATTATTTCGTTACTGGTGCTGAGAGTCTTAAGATTATTACTTCTACTTATTTAGCTTCCTACCCTCTTTACCTCCACCCACGCATCCAACGCCTATATATGGTCCGAAATCCATATAACAATCAAATCCCCATCACAGTACTATTCTAGGGGGTGATGTACAAGCAGAAAAGGTCCCCCTCGATCACTGCCGTCATTAAGCGGAACAAGTAGCATTCTCTTACACTTTCTACTCAATCTCCCGCTTAAATGCACGGCCCGCCTGAATACACGCCTTACTAGAAAACTAAAATATTTAATTATTAAATAACCGTAAATTATATTTATAAATAGTAAGCTATTATAGAATTACTAAGTACTCTATTTCTGTACTCTATATTACTTTTATAATAATTTCATAATTTTATTAATAATATTTATACTTTATTAAGAAATAAGTAATTTATTAAAAAGATTAATAAATTTTATAATAATAATAAATCTTATAAAATCTTTATATAATTTATTTTAAAATAATATATATTAAATTTCGTAACTTAAATATAACCTTTAAATATCTTGTAAAATAAGAAATATAATTTTAAAGTTTTAATTTTTTTAAAAATTAAGTTTTATTTTTAATTTTTCAAAATAATTAAGAGTAATTTATTTTGAAAGAAATTAATTAATTCAATTTTCTTAATATTATTAGAAAAAAGGTTTAAGGCCTTAAAAGTTTAAAAAATATTTATTATATATATAATTTTAATTTTTAATATAAGTTTTTAATAATTATTATCTTTATTTTAATTCTTATATATTAATTAAAATTAAAACAAATATTAACTCTTAAATATAGTTCTTAACTTATAAAAAACCTATATTATTAAATAAATTTAGTAAATACTTATTTTATTTACTAATTTTAAAAAATATTAAAAAAAACTATAATATTTCAATATTTTAAAGATTTAAAAATTAAATAAAAATATTTCTGAGTTTTTTAAGTCCTATATGAGTAATACAAGTAGTTTTATTTAAATTTAATTAATAGCTTTTATTTGAAGCTATTATTATTTATAATTTATTTATAATTTTATAATTTTTAAAAGAATTAAAATATTAATTACTTAATAATATATAAAATATAAATCTTTTATATAAATATATATGCATTAATATATAAAATTCAAAAAACTTAAAGTTTTATTTTTAGATATTTTATTTCTAAATAAACTAATTTTTTAAAAAAAAATTTAAGAAAAAAATTATATCTTTTATAAATCTTTAAAATAAAGTACTTATATTTATAATATTATTATTTTTAAGGTCATAATATATAACGATTGCTATTTTTATATATTATATTTAAAGAAGTAAATTTTTTTATTAATTAATATAAAAGTTATAATAGTATTAAAACTATAAGTTTTCGCGACTTTCTGTGACGGCTGGTGTCACATGGTTGGTTTCAGCCAAAGGGGTTGGTTTCAGCTAAGGTTCCAAGCTATGGTTCAAACCAAGCTCGCTTCCAAAGCTCGGCGTTTCAGTAGTCTTGGCCATACCTACTTATCCACTGCCACACCTCACTCCTTCTCTCCTTAGCTTTAGATTCTGTAGGACATTGGAATCATAGATCTTTGAGCATCGTTCCATTGCTTTGTTCCTGCCGTCACACTTTCTATATAATTCGGCCGTGCATTTAAGCGGGGCGTGCATTTAAGCGGGAAATCGAGTACAGAGGAGAACGTGTGCCGTCGCTATTGGTCGCGGTAATCGCGATAACGGAGCTTAGCTAAGCAAGCCTGTGCTCAGCACCAGCAGCTGGTATAAGGTAGCAGGCTCCAAGCTAAAAGGCGCTGAAAAGTACATTACTCTACCTGCCTCGCAACGACGGCTGGTACGGGCCACCTTCAAATGCAACACAACGTCCGATGTTCCTAGACGGCTATAGCTGCGAACTGGCGTCAAAGATTTGAGTTAAGAGTCTGGCCTCGACAAAAAGACTACATACTAATAACTTGCAGGCGAACCATAACTCTATCTTCTTCTATTACGCCGAGAATACTACGAACATTAATTATATCCGATTTCCCGACTCCCAAAAACCAAATCCGAACCAAAGGAAATAAGAAACAATTCTCTAGTCTTTCTTATAACAGTCTCATATTATCCGCGCTACTGGTGCCCTTCATAGCACTCGCACGTCGATCATTCGCGCCACTTCTGGCTCTGGCTCTGGCTCTGGCTCATCCGCCTCTGGCTCATCTGCCTCTAGCGCATTACTCTTACGCTTCCGACCACGTTTCCCCTTGACCTTGGCATCCTTCACAGCACGCGCTGCTCGTACCACTACAATATCCTCAAAGCTTATTACCTTCGCATCCCCTAGTTTAAGTACCTTAATTAATCGGCAAACCTTGGCTTTATTATTTATTCTAGTCAATATCTGTTTTTTATTATAAAAAAGGGTATATTCGGTAATAAATACCTAGGCAATATTAATAAGCTTCTATATATGCCTCTCTAGGTATAATATACTCGTCTTATTTAGTATATAAGTATCCTATTTAATTAGATTATATAGTAATATAAGATCCTCTACTAATACTAGTATTATAGGCATTTATAGTACTTTATATTAATAATAAGAACTTGCTTTTATCTTATTAGCCCTAGATATAATTAATTAAGTAGGGGGCTTTAGTATTACTCTAAGAACTCTATCCGGATTAAACGGGAATAAACCGCAAACTGCTTATATAGCTATAATATTTCTTTTTATAAATGCTTTCTTTCTTATAAGGCTATATAAAAAAGTGAAATATTACTTACTAATAGTATTTATATTTTCCTTAGAATAGCCTCTCAGCTTTATTATAATAGAAGCTCTTTAAGGAAGCAAATAGTCTAATATTATAGGGCTAGAGCTTATAGGAAATATAAAAGAAGAGGTAATAATAGAGAATATTATTTGCAAAATAAAACTCTTGGGCTTTAAGAATCTTATATATTCCAAAGCTATTATAGATTAGTACCTATAGCTTCTAGTTAGCCTATTTTCTAGTCTAGGAATTAAATATATATTTAAGCCACTTTAAGCTAATTTTAAAATTAATATATTTAGAAATAATATATATATAATACTATCTAGAAATAGGAAACATAATTTAGTTACTTTAATAAATAGTAGCTAGCTAAATAATTATTAGTAATAAAGACTTATTATTAGTATTTATATATTTAATAATAGTAACTATTATATATTTAATACTTATATCTTTATAGTTTTGCAAATTATTTTTATTTATAAGAATCTTAATAGAGCCAAGTATATATAATATAATTCCCGTCTTATTTATATTATAAATATTTTCTAAGAAAATAGCCGGATCTTCTAATATTTTTCTAATTACTTTAAACTAATATAAGATCTTATTATAAATATTATTTTTATAATATTTCTAGGCTATTACCCTTATTTATTATAATTTAAATACTAGATAATACTTCTAGAAAACTTAAGCCTAGTTCTTATTAGAAGGCTTAGCTACTTTATTTATTAAATATTAGTAAGTAATATTAAAGGCAAAAGCAGGAAAATACTTAATTTATATAGAATTCCCGAGATTTACTATTAGTATTAAATACTTCTCGAGGGCTTTCTTCTTTAATAAAGTAAAATATAGTTAGCCTTAGGCCTTTATTTCTTTTAAGGGCTGCCTATAATTATAATAATAAAGAGTATTTAATAGAACTCTATTATATTTAGATATAGTATTATATATTTGAGGCTCTTCTAATAAAAAAGCCTTTATAAAGGCTTTATTAGTATAATTACTTATATAATATTACTTTTTATATTTTATATAAAGATATTAGAGATTGAAATAACTAGATAATAAATTAAGTAATAATATTATATAGGATTATATATATGGCTTATAGAATCTTTTAAAAGAATATTATATTATATTATATTTCATATAATATATAAAGAATTTAAAATAGAATACAACTTATATAACTATAAATATAATATTAGATATAGGCTATAAAAACCTTTTTTGCTTATTAAAATATAGTATTTTATATATCTTTTATCTTTTTCTAAATAAATCTAGTAAATAAATTCTCTTATATTTTATATCTTTAAACTTTAGAATTATATTTAAATATAATAGAAACTCTATATTATAATCCCGGATTTCGAAAGCAAATTAATAGTTATAATAAAATAGAAAATAATAGTTATAGTAATATTTAATACTTTTAATAAGATAATTAATAATAGAGCTAAATTATAGTACTTTTCTAATTATAAATTAAGATTTTATAGAAAAATAACTAAAGAATAATAATAAATAGAATATAACTTTATATATTTATATAATAGAGATTTAAAACCCCTAAACTATAAAGCTTTTTTAATATACTACTTTTTTTAGTATATAAAAATAAATATTAGTAATATATTCTCTAGTTTTTATAAAATATAAAATAATTCCTATTTTATAATTAATAAAAAAATAAATTCAAATCTAGAAAAGCTAATCTATATTACTTCTATTAGTTTTTTTTAAATAAAGAATTCTTATATATTATTAAATTAATTCTAAGAAAAAGCAAATATTAGCTTTTATATAGAATATATATTAAATAAGTTACTTTAAACAAACTCTAATTTTAAATCTATAATTAGTTTCAAATATCTCATTTTATAGTCTTTATTTCCGAAAACATAATATAAGCCCTAATTCTTAATAAGCTATTAGATTCTATATAAATAGTTATTAATACTTTAATTTACTTTAGTTATTCTATTTATTTTTATATCTAGACTATATTAGAAACTAGATAATAATATCTAAATATATTTTAAAAATATAATTTCTCGACTAGCTTTATTATATAATTATTAGTTAATATAAGAAATACTTTAATAATTATAATAGAATTATATATAATATTCTTATAATTTCTTTATAAGTTTTTAGTATATCTCTAAAAAAAGATAATAGCCTATATTATATTTATATTTAGTAAAAAAGAAATTCTAATTTATTAAATTAAAAAATACTAATAAATTTAATATAAAATAGTAATACTATTAAGATATTAATACTATTTTTTAGCCGAGTCTAATCTGGGGCTTAATAGAAATCTATTAGCTAATTCAAAATCTTTTCGAATTTTATTATATAATTCTAAAACGAAATATAATTTCTAAGAACTAGAAAAATATTTGGAATTTTGTTTTTTTATTTCTAAAAGAAGTCTTATTCTTTTAAAATAAGATTAATTAATTCATTTAGTAAATCTCTTTTTTTTATATAATATTTATATATTAATTTTAATAAAAAAGAAATTCTTATATTTCAAATTAAGTTAATACTAATTCTTTTTAATATAAGTTAGATATTTATTATTATAAAAGTTATATTTCGTTTTTAATCTTTTATTTATAAATATATTTATAGTTAATTAGTTTTATACTATTTTTATTATAATTAAAAAGAATATAAATTACGAAATCTTTTAATTTCCTTATAATTATATCTAGCTTAATACTAGTATAATATAATTCAAATAGAGTTTTTTCTCTAAAAATAATATTTAGAATTAAAAATAGTTTTAAAAACAAATATAAGCTTTTATTTTAATAAAATAATATTTTAAAAGTATTTTTAAGCTATTTTAGTATAGCTTTATAGCTAGTAAATATATTTCTATAAAAGAATTTCGAATCTAATAATATTACTAATTTCTATATATTATATTTAATATTCTAATAGTTTTCTAAATATTATTTATTTTTATTATATAATCTTTTTAATATAATTTATATATTTATATTACTTTTATAAGATATATAAAATATATAAAATTAGTAAAAATAATTCTTTATATATTAGAAAAACATTATAAAAGCTATTTATAAAACTAAGCTATATTAATATAATTAATATATATATAAAACTCGGCCTTAATATTTTATATAACTTATATAGTATTTAATAAAGCTTTTAAGCTAGTTTTAAGTATTTTAGAATATAAGGTTTTAAAAATTAGTTCTAATTTAAAAACTAGATTTATATTAATATATTTACTAATTATTAAAAGTCTTAGTAATTTATTATATATTTCTAATAAAAGATTATCTAAATATAATATTAAAGTAATTATTATTCTAATAATATATTAATATTTAATAGAAATATAATTAATAAAATTTACTAGATATATTAAAAGATCTATTAATAAAGAATTCGGGATCCTAAATATATATATTATATTAAAAAGTAAAATAATATTATTATATAATATATATAGAATTGCATGTAACTTAAGGGCATATAACGAACCTCGAATATTGCGGGTGTCGATTAGGGAGATTAAAGGCCCTTTAATATTATAACTAACTACTATTTATATTATAAGTATTAGGCTTATAAATTACTAATTATATATATATTATTAGAGCCTTCTATTTAAAGGGGGTTTTCCTGAACCTTATAGGAGGAACAGAGATTAGCTCTGTACTGAATTTAATACTATAGTTTTATAATATACTAATTTATTCTATTATCTTATTGCCTACTAATAAATACCTTATAAGCTAATCTCTCTACTCTTAAAGGAGGTAGTTCGATAAGTAATTATATCTCAAAATCTGTGAAATATATAATTCCTCGCCGGAGCTATTTCTATAGAGGAAGTCGACCAGATTAACCCCAATACAGGTAATGGTAAAGGCTCGTCTAATACTTTTAACAGGGCCCTTTAGGAGCCTCCGAAAGCCAGTAATAATAACAGAAATAATTCCGGCAATAATTAAGACACTAAGATTAATGCCCAAATTACTGCCGCCCAAGTTACAGAATAGAGATTGTATACTAATATTAAAGCGCTCTAATAAAAGCAAGAATTAGTAGATATAATTAACTAATATATCCTATAGTTAAAGTAATATAAGGGTGCCTTCAGAAATACTTTGCGGTTTACTATATCTTATAGAAACTCTATTCGAGCTACTATATAATGTCCTGAAAATATATTTGGACTGAGAGAAGCTTCTCAAGGTCCGAACGCCTGACTTATATTATAGAAAGTCCCTTAAAAAATAGAGAATATTTATATCTTTCTGGAAGGCAGTCTTTAGGATCTAATCTTGAACTTATAATAGACACTTTTCTAGAGTTAACTCTACTATAAGTGCCTTTAGGGACGAACTTTATAATATTTGGAAGGCTATAATAAAGTAAAGCCTACTATTATATAAGGTTTATTAGAAGCGATTTAAGGCCTATTTGGCTAATATACTCTAAGTACCTTAAACCCGTTAATAAAATACCTTTAAGGAGCTCCGAGATCTTTATTAGAAGAATAGTGAGATAATTGCCGAATTATATACTCAGATAATTAGTCTCAAAGTTAACTAGAACCTATATCCTAAAAGGAACCGGATCCGAACTCTCGATACTACTTTATCTAACTATAAGACTTATTAGATACTTATATCTATTTTCTTAGAAAATAAGGCAGTATCTATTTCCGAGTGGCTTAAGAAAGCTTAGAAAGCAGAATATACTACTTACTCTAAATTAAGGAAAGTAAAGGCGGGGAAGTCTAATAAAAGTAATTCTGCCTCTAAGAACTCTAATTTAGCAAATTCTAATTTATAAAGCTATTAAAAAAAAAAGAATAAGTTCCGAAAATTATATAAGAAATCCTTAGATAGTATTTTGGTCCCTTTAAAGCCTTAATAGAGTATTAGTTCCACTTCAGATATAGTTTATTAGACTTATAGACAGAAAAAATACTTCTTAGAAAGTGTAAAGTATTTCAAGTATACTAAATAGACTCGGTAGAACCCTAATAAAGCCAAAACTATAAAAGAGTTAAGGCATTTATAGAAGCAGATTAATGCTATTACTATAGAGGAGCGCTCTAGAGGAAACCCTTCTAAGAAATAGGGAAAAGAGAAGGTTAAATCTTGAATATTAATAATTTTAGCTATAATAAAAAAGGCGTATTATTTTATATAACTATTTAAATAAGATTAATATAGCTAGAAGTAGATACCTTAGAGATATAGAGCGGATTTAGTAATACCGGATTAGACTGCAACTTCCTTAATAATAATTGGGCTTAAAGCTAGAGCTTTACCGCCTTAGTTAAATATAATTAAGAATTTATAATCTTTTATAGAAATAGATTTAAGGTCTATTAAATCTATAATCTTAAGGTATTTATTATAGATAATTATAGCAAAACGCGTTTTTTTAAGTTCCGGTTCTATAGATATAAAAACGTTAGCTTTTATAGCCTTATTTTTAGTATAGAATTCTATAAAGTAACTCTTATATAATATATAGATTATATTAAGAAATAATAGATATATATATCTATATAGCCTAAT